ATGGAGTCACGTGTCAGTAGTCCGATGTCTCCTGATGGAATGGAAGAGGACTTGGCCACCATGGAAGGTGTTGTGGGGGCAGACACCCAGCAGCAGCTGGGTTCCAGACCTCAGCGTCATGAGGGTTTGACAGGTGTGGATTCTTCAGGAGGTGTTATGCCCCTGCATGGAGCAGGGCTGGAGCTGATGGAACAGGAGCACATGGGCGGTCGAGTAGGAACCAGAACTGCAGGAGGAGGTGGTCCAGGGACGCTGGGTGAAGCCTTGCACTCCACTGGAGAACTGAACTCTGGGGTGGTTAGTGTGGTGCTCACGGGGGCCATGGTGCCACAGACTCAACTAGACACGGTATCTCTACACGGACCTTCAGGTATGGGACTCGAGCCTGTCAACGTGTCACCCATCACTGCAGAAGTATCTCTTGGGCCAGACAACAGCCTGGTGCTGGTGAACTCTACCTTACAACTAGAAGACTCAACATCTAATAAGGAAAACATGGCCACTGCATTCAACATATGTAAGTTTTACTTGGTGATTTTGAATTATGCAATGTGTTTCGTTCCAATTTCATGCGTTTTATTTTCATTTAGGGTGCACTTTATGTGAGCAGTCATATCCTTCGGACTGCCCTGAGCACGGACCAGTCACATTCATCCCAGACACACCCATTCAGAGCAGAGCCCGTCTCTCTCTGCCCCGCCCCTTGTGCCTCCGCATTTCTGTTGCTGATGAACCTATTGGTAAGTGAAGTTTTGCTTTTTTTTAAATTCAGTCCTCCTTAAACACTGGAACTGTTAATCTGGTTGAGTCTGCATATATTAAGACTTCTGAACTATCCGACAGAAACTGATGCTTTGTGTACAATTATCAAAATACAATTATTAAATAAATAAATAATCACTTAAATCAGCCAATAATCTACATGGTACCAATAAATGATGCACCTAGTTGTATAGCATCTTATTGCTGGTAAAAGTTAGTCAAAAACAGTTTACTACTACATACCTGTCAACACTCCCGTTTCCCCGGGAGTCTCCCGTATTTCACACCCATCTCCCGCCCCCCCCCTCCCGTTTAGTTTTTAATCCCGTGAAACTCCCGTTATTTGTATGGCCCAAACGTCGTTATATGATCACATCAATATATAATTCCAAGGTTGTCCAGTTGCCAGATCTTGTAGTATGAAACCCATCCTACTCGTGCAAAAAATGTGATTAATCTAGTTAATTTTTTCCAACCGATAAAAATACATAAAAAAAAACACGAATAAGTCTTATTCATGTTTATTTTTAGTGAATATTATGTATTTATTTATGTTAATATCTGCGCAATTAATTGTGTATTTAGCCTGCCTCTGCCATCCAGCACCCCCCATAATCCCCCCCAACCCATCCATCTCCCCCTCCCTCAGGTCTCCTGTATTTTGGTACCCAAATGTTGACAGGTATGGCTTACTACTTTCCATTTTTTTGAAGATGTTTGGGTGAGTGACATTATCAGTTAGCTTGTTAAATGTAGTTATTGGGAAGTGAAGTCCATTTGCTTTTGAAAACTGAAGATTTTATTTGCATTGCTAAAGGCATTTTTTGTTTTCTGCAGGGGTGTTTGCTAGAGAGACTATACCCTCCAGGACCTGCTTTGGGCCGATGGTTGGACAGCACTGTAGCAGTGTAGAACTTACAGACTGGTCTGACAAGGACACCCCTCAAATATGGAAGGTCCTTGCCACATTTCTAAATATATGTGAATTAAAATGGCTAAACATTTTTACTTCTTTAATTTTTACTTATACAAGTTTGGGGTTAGTACGTTTATTTAATTTTTTTATAAAGAACTTAATACTTTTATTTAGCTATTAAATTAAATTGATCAAAAGTGACACTAAAGTGTAAAGACATTTATAATACAAAATAATTCTATTTCAAAACATATTATTAATCAAAGAATCCTTAATGTTCCACAAAAATACTAAGCAGCACAACTGTTTTCAACATTGATAATAGTATAGAAATGTCTTGAACACCAAATCAGCATATTAGAATGATTCGTGGAAATGGAAATTGTTGTATCATTTAAATGGAAACATATTTCACAATATTACTGTTGTTACTGTATTTTGGTCAAAAAATTGCAACCTTGGTGAGCATAAGAGATTTTTGCATGGTAGCTAAACCGCCTCATCTACGTATTTTATTCACTATTATACTGACATCATGTTGTAATCCCAAGAATGGCTTTAACAGTGTCTTTAATCTAATGTAGATGTTCCATAACGATATCCAAGAGTTCTGTATTGTGACGACAGATGAGCATGAATGCAACTGGATGATGTTTGTACGGAAAGCAAGGTAACCACCTCACTTTATCCTTAAAAAACTTTTCCCCATATCACTTAAATCAGGAAGCTCTATATTGAAAATCATGCATGGTATGAAAACAATCAGGTAGTTGCGATCTCTATTTGCAGGACTACAGAGGAACAGAATCTCGTCGCATATATTGACAACGGGAAGCTTTATTTCTGCACATCCAGAGAGATTCTGCCAGATCAGGAGCTGCTGTTTTATTTTAGCAGGGACTATAGCAGACAACTAGGTGGGACTTCCTCCAGCGTGTCCTAACCAGGAAGATAACTATACCATATATATTCATATATGATCTTTTCAATGCTGCTATGTATCTTTTCAGGTGTACCCAGAGTGCCAGAGGGCCAGATATGTCATTGTGGAAAAGAGTGTGCCTCTTTCACAGAGTTTAAATCTCACCTCAGCAGCCATGCCCAGAGCCATAGCCCCACCCAGGACCATCACACTACACACAGCCAATCCCAGTCGCAGGAGAAGGTGATCAATGAGCCGTCCCGGTCCGCTTCCTCCCCACAATGGCAGTGCCACTCAGACGTGAATGAACATTCCAGCAGCAACGGGCACGGTCGCGAGAGGAAGTTTAAATGTAGCATGTGCACACGAGCGTTCACTACGTCCACTAAGCTAAACGTGCATTTCATGGGCCACATGGGCATGAGACCACACAAGTGCAGCTACTGCAGCAAAGCCTTCAGTGATCCCAGCAATCTCAGAAAACACCTGAGAATCCACACAGGTACATGTGCATGTCTAGATGTTTACATATGAAAATTGCATTTGAAATGGTTATAATTCGTTTTTAAGTCAATATGAAATAAAAATGGATCTTACCTTTTGAAGTTCCTTTTTTTTATTCAATCCAAAGGGGAAAAAAGGAAAAAATCAAACTGTAATAACAAGCTATATCAATATAATAACTAGGTAATAATAATTTTTGAATGTCAGTTCATGATGTTTTTAAATTAACTTTTGAAATGAACTTCAAGTAGAGAACCACTGTTAGCTTGTTTTTAATTAGCTAAAGAAATACTCTGTCATCATTACTGTTGTGCTCATAATATATATATATTTTTTTTTTTTCTGCAGGTCAGAAGAACTTCAGGTGTACAGTATGTGGGAAGTCTTTTACTCAGAAAGCGCATGTGGAATCTCATATGGTTATACACACTGGTGCCAAGAACATTAAATGTGACCATTGTGACAAGATGTTTGTGCGGAAACAAGATCTCAAACAGCACATGTATTCACATTCACTGTAAGGCTGTATTTCATATTTTATTTTAAATATATATTATAAATATAATTCTAAATAATTATTATATTATATAAATAACATATAATATATAATAATAGAAAATATAATTAATATAAATATTACAGTAACTATTAGTGCATTTCATGATCCAATCAAATCCTGATGAATAAACTCAAGTCCTACATTATTTTTCTTGTTGAATAATGACCTTTCATATGTGACAGTATGGATATGAAATAGGTTGAGAATGCTGTTTCATGTTGACTTTAACTTCAACCTTGCTTTTTTCTTTGCTTATCTTTTCTCTATTTCAGAGACCGCCAGATAACCTGTCCAAAGTGTGACAAACAGTTCTTGAAGACCGACCATCTCAAAAAACACTTAAACTCTCACGATGGGAAACGGGACTTCATCTGTGAAAAGTGCAACAAGGGCTTTCTTACTAAATACCACCTCACACGCCACCTCAAAATCTGCAAGGGTCCTAAGATCGGTCGAGGCGCGGCGCAGGGTGAGGATGGGGAGGAGGAGGAAGATGATGAGGAAGATGAGGAGGAGGAGGAAGAGAGGGAAGTTGAAGGACAGATCAATCCAGCCAATGAGGAGGAGTGTGGATTAGGCATGGGAGGATATACTTCTGAAAAAACAATGTAACTTTACTCTTAACAAACCAAGCCTTGTCTAGCCTGTTTGTCCTTTTTTGTGTATTCTTGTTCTGCCCAGCAGCCTTTTATTCCTGGTGCCAAAATGTATCCCTATGTCACCTGGCCAATAGAAATGCAATTAGATTTAAATTAGAAAAATAATGCGTTACTTGTTTTCAAGTCAACTGTCACAGTTAAATTGATAAATCTCTTGTCTAAAAATGAACAAAAGACATTGCCTTTTTGAAATAAGTTTTTTTTTTTTTTTTTTTTTGCATAAAATATTTGTTTACAGTGCACATTTGTTTTTTTTTGTTCAACGTGTTTGTTCAGTTAACTTGTTCACAGCAGCCATGCCTTTTCTATATTCTGTATTTATATTGTAAATAAACTAATATTACATTTTCCATGCAAACATTGTCATTAATGAAAATAATATGCATTATAAATTATTGTTTCTAAATGGATAATTATTATATATTAGTCTATAATGCAAATGAAAAGAGGATTTTTTCATAACAGGGTTATATTTTATTTCTTTTTTACAGTCTATGGGTTTTATTGGTAAATGTTCAGTGACGTAAGCCTACGTCGCTCCCTCAACCATCCCTCAACACACGTTAAGACTGGAGCAATCGAAAAAAGAAAGAAAGACCGGAGCAATCGATCCAAAACTGCACCCGTGTTGTGAAACCCTTCACCCCATTTTCTTCACAGGTTTGGAATTGTTCTGTTGAAACAGCTCGTGGTTAATCTATCTTTCACCATGGCAACGTCTGTGAAGCTGAATACCGAGGCAGATATGCCCATAGTCGGGCTGGGCACGTGGAAGGTAACGTTACGGTGTGGTTCATTTTATGAAAGATCGTGTTAACTTACATTACATAAGTGCATTAATTTAGCTGGCACGTGGAATTCATGACCAAAAAGTTTTTAAAATGCATGCAAAAGTTAAAATAAAAAGACACATTAATAGAATTTACACGAGGCTGCAAAAGTCCGAAATGAATCGTCAAATGTTGCGTAATTCAGAGGAAAGAAGTTGCTTTGGCGGTTATGAACAGGTGAACGTTTGCTGTTTTACGATTTAAAATTAGGGGCAATAAACTATGAGCAAGTTCGAAATATGAATGTTTGTGTCTAGAGAAAGTAGTTTGATCATAGTGACTAAGCAAGTCACCGATATCAGTCCAGTGCGTGTCTTTTAACTGATAACATTCAGTAATCAGTAAGTCTTTTGTTTGGTAAGTTAACGTTAGATAAGAAGAGATTTTGTGAGGAGAATTTATATTAAATTGACTAAAGATATCTGACATATGTAGAATCATGTTGGAACCCACTATACTACACAATCAGCAGGTTTAGTCTTAGTGCACTGCTTTTTCTTTTGTTTTTAATTTCCTTCCTCTTTCTTGTAATTTCCTTTTCGCTTCTCTTCCTATGATTTTCTGTACGTTTTTCTGCCCGTTACTTTCCCTTATTTTCCATTCACTTTCTTTCCCATTTTTCCTTTCCTTTCTCCCATCCATTAAAATTTTTCCCCTCTCCTTTCCATACCTTTCCTTTCTTTTTTGGTGTTTAAATTTGTTGTCTAAATTCTGTTGTATTCCCTCCAGTCTCCTCCAGGTAAAGTTGCAGAGGCTGTGAAGGCAGCCATCACTGCGGGTTACAGACACATTGATGGAGCCGCAGTGTACAATAATGAAACGGAGGTCGGAGAGGGAATTCAGGCCATGATAAAAGATGGTGTGGTAAAAAGAGAAGAACTGTTTGTGGTCAGCAAGGTATGTCAAGCTGCAGCATTTACCTCAAGAATGTGATTGACAAATGGAAGGTTACTGATGATTTAGTAGGTTTATGATGAAGTGAATACACTGCATGTAATTTTGATTCACAGCTTTGGTGCACCTTTCACGAGAAGGCCTTAGTAAAGGGAGCTTGCCAGAAGACTTTAAGTGACCTAAAACTGGACTACCTGGATCTTTACCTGGTTCACTGGCCAATGGGCTTTAAGGTGATTTATTAGAATTTTTTGAGAAAGTCAGAATGAAACTCCTTCTCTAAAGTCCTGTCTGTCACTCATTCATGTCTAGCATTCAGTGTTAATCTCTCCACAATAAAAGCTTAGATCTCACTGTAACACCATTCAGAAATGCATTGTCATCATTACTTTTCAGTCTGGGCCAGATCAGTTTCCATTGGACAGTGAAGGGTTAACCATCGGTGATGACACCAATTTCTTGGACACCTGGGAGGTAAGAAGACTTTAAAAAGATTTTAAAGTTACCTTTCACATTCATTTGTACGAATGAATCTGTTTTACATTTACTGCATTATTATAAGAACTGCTTTACATTGTAATGCCAGTGTATAAAGGCTAATCTTTTTAGCTCTATTTAATTAATTATAGTTATGGCGTGATATTTGTGCTGTAGGCCATGGAGGAGTTAGTGGATGCTGGGTTGGTCAAGGCCATTGGCATCTCCAACTTTAATCGAGAACAGATCGAAGCCATCCTGAATAAACCAGGACTCAAGTACAAGCCTGCCAACAATCAGGTTGGTACCGGTACTCTTTAAAGGGCGTCAGTGTGGTTTAATTCGACAATTACAGATGGACCAAGAAAGGTCAACATTTATCCAGAGATCAGCCTTTCGCCTCCAGCAGCTTTGTAATGCAATTACTCCTTTAATTTCCTGCTACTTGTCCAGAACAGGCACAGTTATTTGTCTGGATATAGTCTTAAAATATCATTAGGACACTGCTTGCTTTGTGGTTGGCAGGCATAATGATTATTTTGGGGCAGGAAAACAAGAATAACTTTTTGTATCAATAATATGATATTGAACTTTTAATATGTATTTTACTAATTTAAATGTTAACACATAGTTAAAGACACCTAATCTAGTGGGACCAAAAATCATACTGATCCCAAAGTATTTTTGTATAAATATAAACAGAATTTTATGTTTATATTTTTCCCTCTTCAGGTTGAGTGCCATCCATATCTGACTCAGGAGAAGCTGATTAGCTTCTGTCAGTCCAAAGGCATCACAGTCACTGCTTACAGTCCTCTAGGTTCTCCAGACAGACCTTGGTAGGCAGCCGTTCCCACATGTTGATGCTTTGCTGCATGTGAGATTTATTTGCTGCAAAGGTTTAAGTTGCAGTTGGTGACTTTCTAATTTGTTAAATGAATAACACTGGACTTTGTCTCAAACTTAGGGCTAAACCTGAAGATCCCTCACTGCTTGATGACCCAAACATTAAGGCCATTGCAGAGAAGCACAAAAAGACAACCGCCCAGGTAAGGAGACTGTCATCTTAGTTACGTCATAGCTTGTTATTGATTCATATAATAATGTCAATTTTACATCAATGTACAGGTCCTCATCCGCTTCCAGATTCAGAGGAATGTCATCGTCATCCCCAAGTCTATCACACCTCAGCGTATTCAAGAGAACTTTCAAGTAAGTTCATCATCAGAGGTCATTAAGGTCATGGAATCACAGTGCTCCTTGTATTTTAATATTTTTGTCTATATTCACAGGTTTTTGATTTTGAATTGAGTGAGGATGATATGAAGACCGTTATGGGCTTCAACAAGAACTTCAGGGCTTGTCCAATGCATTGGTGAGTATGTTTCACAGGGTTCCCAAGATCATGGTCAACCGGGAAATATCAGGAAATTGTGCTATGGAAGTCACAGAAATGTAGTCAATATAAATTATTCTATTTATGGTCGGTTCTGAAATGTGTGATAAACTAGAAATTGTTGTTAGGGAGTTCAATCTCTGTAAAATTATTTTAAAAATCAGTATCTAGTAAAAGGGATGGGAACCCTGGTTTTACTCTATATGAAAAGGAAAGAAAAACTTAGTTTTATTATTATACTTTTTAATTATATAATAATAATCTTTTATTATAATCAATAATTAAACTTAATGTGATTCTCTCTACATCTGTCAACGCAGGGGTGTAAAGCACAAAGACTACCCGTTTAACGCTGAGTATTAAAAGAAGACATCTCAAAACGTGCTGTTTGATGAAAATAAGTTCCTCTGTTCCAGAGAATGCTGTTTTGTCATTGATCAGTGTGAAAATGCTCTTCATTTTGCATTACGAAACTTGTTACTGAGAAATTTCCTTACAGGTCATCCTTGATTTGATTTACAGGTTAGCTTCTAATGAATGTTTTTTTGTTGTTGTTGTTTTACCATAGACATGGAGGTTAAATTTGTTAATGCATTGACAATTTTAAGCTGTTATTACTTTAGTGTACACATGGAAATGTAAAAAGGTTCATGACAAAACAACCCAATTAATCATAATTAAATCTTTGAAAAACATATGCACTAGTAACTTTTTTTATTTGAACAATGTCACACATTTTGCACAATTGGGCAGATAACAAGAGAAAGTATTGGTCCTGAGAATATTTTTTTTTTATATGCACACTCCTTGTTTTCAAAATGACAACAAAGCACTTCCAGTTTGTAAGAGCAGCTTTGTTTACAATATATTGATGTATGCTTTGAAAGCCCAAATAAAGCTCTTCGTCAAACAGCTCTCTGGCTTATGTTTTTAAATGTGAAGAATATCTTTCTCATGTCTTAAACAACTCGCTTGACCTTTACATTTAACCACATTTAGTCCCTTAAATGGCTTTATTACACTTGAATAAATGCTGATAATGTGGGTTTGCTCATAACATACTTCATTCATATACTTAATTTATCCCCAATGGGAAATGCAGGAGTCATATTTAAAATCAGTTAATATGCAAACAGCATTTACTAAAGCTTTAGAATTCTGCATTCAGTGGATAATCCTTATGCTTGGAAGCCCTGCAATAAAATGGTAAAGGAGGATTTTAGTTAACTTAATACTACACAAACGGATACAAAGTCCACTGCAAACGTTCATAATGATGACTCACCATTCCAGCATAAAAGCCCTCCAGTTTCTGTTAAAACTCAGTATAGTGTTCATCTCCTCTTTACTCAGCTCAAAATCAAAGACCTGCAGGAATAAAAGAAGTAAATCTTGATTATGCTTAACCATCATACACTTCAACCATCATAACTGATCCGGTTATTCTTGTATTTCAGTACTGGTGCAACATGTAGGACACATGCAAAGTACATGGTTTAATTAAAATGAGAGTACCTTGAAATTCTCTTTGATTCTGTGGGGGTTTACAGATTTGGGAATGACCACAACATTCCTCTGCATGTGGAACCGGATTAGAACCTAGAAAAAAAGTTCCCTGTTTAGTCTTATGATGGAGGAATGCATTTGTAAAAGTGTGTAATGCTAATGTTTTAAGGGTCGTCTTACATTCAGCTGACAAGTTGTACTTGAACATGTACTTCTTCTAGGTTGATTTATACATAACATGAATTAACATGAATTAAAAAACATGCAAGTTTACACCTACCTGTGCTGTGGTTTTACCATGCTTATCTGCAATGGCCTTGATCTTTGAGTCCTCCAGTAGTGATGGTTCATCTGCCTTTGCCCTAAAGAAAGTCAAATCTGTTGTAATGTAAGGCCAATACCATATTTTATATAGATAGATAAATATATAGTGTTAGTAAAAGTTACTTCTAAAAGCAATGCGTTATAATATTGCATTACTCTAAAAAGAAACTAAATTTTTATGGAAAGTTACTGAAAGCTGTACAAAACATCTCTTAACCTTACGGGTTATGTTACCTACTGTACAACTCTTTGATTTGAATGTTGAAAGTAATGTTTTTTGTTACTTTTGTGCTTTTGTGCACACACGTCTAAGTGACTATGTTATGGAGAAGAGAGAATTTTAATTCAGTAGTTTAAAAAATGTTTAAGCAAATTATTTACATTGAAAAGTAACATGCATTACTAGTAACTCAAATATTAATGTGTAATGTTTATAAAGTAATGCATTACTTGTCATATCAAAAAGTAATTTGATTATCTTAATCCAAGTTACTTGTAATGATACCCCCAACTTTCTCTCTCTCTCTCTCTCTCTCTCTCTCTCTCTCTCTCTCTCTCTCTCTCTCTCTCTCTCTCTCTCTCTCTCTCTCTCTCTCTCTCTCTCTCTCTCTCTCTCCTCTCTCCTCTCTCCTCTCTCTCTCTCTCTCTCTCTCTATATATATATATATATATTAGTTATAGAAAGAAAGTACTTACCATGGTCTGGTTGGAGAACCTAGAGGACTGTAAGCAGTGACTGTGATTCCTTTGGACTGACAGTAGTTAATCAGCTTCTCCTGAGTCAGATATGGATGGCACTCGATCTGGAGGTGAAAAGTAATTTTTGAAAAGATTTTGGCACTTGAACTTGAACAACAAAGTCTTGATCTGTTTTAAATTCTTCAGGATGTATTGCAACCAACCCAATACCTGGTTGTTGGCAGGTTTGTACTTGAGCCCTGGTTTATTCAGGATTTTTTCAATCTGATCCCGGTTGAAGTTGGAGACACCGATGGCCTTGACCAACCCAGCATCCACTAACTCCTCCATTGCCTTTGTGAGAACAATTTAACACTCAAGTAACCAGAAAATTTTCTTTGATCAACTAAATGTGAGCCTGAGTTACAGGAATCTCACATTAATTTTGTTTTTATTCTACTCCTTACCTCCCATGTTTCCAGAAAGTTGCTGTTGTCTGGAATTACATGGCCATCCTTATCACATGGGAAAAGCTCCTTTCCAGGCTGCCAATTTGAATACACAGATCAGCATGAATAAAAATAAATGTAGCATATTGTAAACAATAAGTTCTTGTTTAGTACTACCTTAGTGCCCATGGGAAAGTGCATTAGGTAGAGATCAACGTAGTCCAGTTTGAGGTCACTTAGGGTCTTTTCACAGGCTCCTCTTACCAAGTGTTTCTCATGGTAAGTGCACCACAGCTTCAAAAGATACAGGATTTAGTTTTGCATTTGTTTATGGCCAAAGTCCCTTTCACATGATGTATTTGTTAAGCTGTTTTCTACAAGATTTATTGTTCAATCATGTTCTAACCATGACTTGCATTCAGTAATTATTAATTAGGGCATGACGTAACAGTGCACATTATAACACATGGAACACAACACAACAATACATGTTATATAAATGCACAACTGTGTATGATCTTTGACATGATTCATGCTGTGTGAAATTACAAGGCACATGACTGGCCTTATGAGACCATGTTTCCTGTCATGTGCCTCTGAGACAAATCTTTACATTAAAATGTGTTACTACCTTGCTAACAATGAAAAGGTCCTCTCTCTTTACCACTCCTTGGTTAATCATGGTATGTACACCGTCTCCAACTTCATTCTCATTTTCATAGACAAGGGCCCCATCAATGTGATGGTAGCCGGCCAGAATGGCTGCCTTCACAGCCTCTGTTACCTCACCTGGAGCAGACTGGAGCAGGTTTCAGAATTTTAATATTAAATCTTATCTTAGTGGACTTTGCAATTATTATCAAATCTCTAAAATTGAAAAAAAAAAGATCAAATTGAAAAGAAAAGCATTATTATTCATAAAAGAATGGTTTAAAATAAAAGGATAAACCTCTAGTGTTTAATTGGCAAACAACAATAAAAGCAACGGCAGAAAAACAAATATTTACCATAATTAATATCATACAGAATCAAATTGTACAGTACAAAAAAAAAAGAAAAAACGTAAATACTCACCCTCCATGTTCCCAGTCCAACAATGGGCATTTTAGCTCCATTATTGAGAGTTACAAATGTCATGGTGAATTTTACTATAGAGCACTTATCAGATATAAAATAAAGCACTTGTTAGTCTGCACTCTGCACACTGTCGCAGCTTTCTCACTCAGTCTGCAGCAGCCTGTTCTTTTGAAACTTGCTTATTACATGGGCTTGTACGTGAATTTGATTGGTCAGGTCTGGAAACGCCCCATTTAGGGCGGTGCAGTTCCTCAATCCTAACATCATTCCATTTCCAACATAGAGCAGACTTGCTTGTAGTTCAGGGAGATTTTTTAAAGAAAATTAAAAGTAAAAAATAACTTAAAGAAAAAAATCAAAACAGTTTTGAGATTTTTTTTGATTTTTAAAACATGTGAATGGCATGATATATCATATAATAATGATTGTTATTCTGTACAGTATAACATATTTATTTATTTATTTATACAGTTTTGAAATTGTTTATGATTTTTAAAACATGAATGACATGATATACAGTATAACTGTGATTATTTTGTATAGTATAACACTTTATTTATTTATTTATTTATTTATTATTTTATTTTATTTATTTAGGCCGGTTTGAGATTGTAATTTTGTACCATTTTTTATTTTTTTATTTTTAAGCTTTAAATTTGGAACTGTATTTTCGGTTGTTACCAGAGCTGTTTTCACATGTGTCAACCCTGAAATCCAAAAACAGTGACTAATGTAATTATGCGTGGTAAATCAACCAATCCTGTACAACAAAAGTGAGCTATATAACATGCAACTCATGAGATGTGCAGTGCACTTCTTTTCTTCAATGATGGTTGAAGTTAAATTACTACATCATGAATACTGGATTCCCCAAACAAGAAGAGCACTTGGGTGAGAGTTCATAACAGATATTCTGCAAGTGTTAAAATCTAATTTTCTAATTTTCTCTACAGATGTTTGAATTAAATCTTTAGATTCGAAGATAACGAACAATTGTTTGTTATAATATTTAGACTGAAAGATCAACCAAACCCAGTCTTAAAAGGACTTTGTTCCGGACAGAATTCCTGTCCCTCTCTCCGCCCTGCGCCTCTTGGTTCCTCCTATACGCCCCATTTCTGCTTTTATGTGGAGAACTGTGCAGCAAAAGGATGTGATGCAGTATGGGATGCCGATGCTGGCAGATTTTGTTACATTGGTGTCAGAAGCTAGCCTGGTAATACCAAACTCTGCTACTTGCGCTTGTCTGAAGTATAAAATCATTGGTTAGCCGTAAGCCAATCACATAACGCAATCACCTCTCTCTCCAACTTAAACATCACCTCCATTCAAGATGTTTAACAATACAATCTTAAACTCGGCGCTTAGTGTCTACGTCACGGCTCTCAGCCCGCCCTCTGTTCATTGATTGGCCGGCTGTTTTCAGGCCGGAGGGAAACTGAGAGATAGGTCACTATCTCAGACTGAGTACAGAAGTGAACTGAAATTGAGCGGAAGTACGAAGTCTGACGAAGTCAGGCTAGTCAGAAGCAGTCCTAGAATTGATTAGTCTTAGACATGGAGACAAATTCCTAAAGTCACTGCTTAAGGAACACAAGAACCTTGGACATCTAGATACCAAGAATTTGATCATGTCTGTTATATAGTATTTATAATGGTTGTCTTCCATAGTGTGATAACCTCCAATGCATTTTTTTTTTCAGTCTCTTGTCAGTCCATGAGTGCAGGAAATTGCATCCTGTTCAACTCTAAAGCGGGTGACTTCCATCAGCAGAGTGTAAGTCAAGTTCAGATTTTTGACTGAAAGACGCTGAGTCAGTAGTAGGACCATCTGAATGTACAGAGACTCAGGTAGGACAAGGTGAAGATGGAGACCCTGC